AGACATACTTAGACAAAGAGAAAACGAAAGAGTAATCTGTCTACACAGAACCAGAGAATAGAGGGAGGGTATAGTTTTACAACTCTGGCCCTAAGCAGTTAGTGCAATCTGACCTTCCTGCTGGTCAAATTTGCCTCCAAGGCACAGTCTCCAAAATTTTAGTGAGCCTGCCTCTTCGGGAACAGGTTCTACAGGTACAAAATCCTTTCCAACACTTTCTGCTTCTCTTTGAAATATGAGGAAATGCTTTATTCTCACCATTAGAGAAAGACATAAATACACACATTGAAAAGTTGGTTTGAAGATTAGATAATGTGATATCTAAGTTAGATAATGTGTCTAAAGGTTTCAGCCAACTGATGGCATACAATAAATAAATTCTAAAATACAAGATGGGGGTGGTGGTGAATGGAACTTTCAGAGGTTTGCCTGGGCATTCTAAGACAACAGCTTTGGTGTGTAAGTTAAAAATGAGGCTTTTTTGATTTTTTTATTTAAATTAGAAACAAGGTTGCTTCACGTTTATCCCAGCTCCATCTTCCTCCCCTCCTCCTCCCACACCCTCCCACCAACCCTCCCAGACCCCCATCCAATCCCCACTCCATTCCCCAGGGAGGGTGAGGCCCTCCATGGGGAATCTCCAGAGTCTGTAATTTCATCCAGGGCAAGGCCTAGGCCCTCCCCCAAAAGTCCAGGCTGAGAGAGCATTGCTCATTGTGGGATGGGCAGCCAAAGTCCATTTGTATGCCAGGGATAAATACTGGAACTGGAGAGATGGCTCAGTGGTTAAGAGTACTGGCTACTCTTGCAGAGGACCTAGGCTCAGTTACCTGGGCTCATATGACAACTCACAACCATTTATAACTTCAATTTCAGGGGATCTGTTACCCTTTTCTGACCTCTGAGGGTTCCTGAATACATACAGTGCATATAAACTGACACACACATACATGTAAAATAAATACTTTTCAAAACCCCTCAGTATCACCACTGTGAACTTTGGAAGTTAGTGAAAAAGATCCATCCAGATAAATTCAGAGCAGAATCTGATAAATGCAGGATTATTAGACTTCACTTTAAAAAACCTTTTTTGAAAAGAATTTTTCATGTATATATTCCTTCCCACTCCCCTTCCATGTGGGTCCACACCCTTTCTGTGTCTCATTAGAAACAAACAGGCTTTTAAGGAATAATATAATATGATAAAATTATCACTCCCAATGGTCTATTTTGTGTGTGTGTTCTGGGAATGGAATTGGGGGCCTTGTGCATGCTAAACAACTTTCCTAACTCTGCTATTTAAAATGTTAAGACTATGAAGGCCTGGTTTGGGTTTCATTCAGGTCCTTGAAAACAGTTAATCTTAGAACCTGCAGATAGATTACTAACAGCCACATTATGAATGGCTAAGCCTTTTTAAGTGCTTTCTATTAAGCACTCTATATATAAGTCTGCAGTGAGGTGGGCATGTTATCATTTTGCATTCGATGTGACATAGGTATGTTATAGACATTGGCTAACTTGCCAAGGGCCACAGGGCATTGCAGGGTATTTCCACTCACATCTGTGGTTCTAAAGTTCATCCTTGTACTCTTAATCCTGTTTATGACCTTGTTTGTTTTTTAGTATTTCCCCCAATTCCTAGGCTAATCTGATTGTGAGATATGATTTCTATAAGACAAAAAACATTGGTTTTGGGGAGAAGGGAAGAGAACACGAGGGATCAGGAAAATTGAATTAGGGGAAGAAGAGCAAGGAAAGAAATACCTTGTTAGAGGGAGCCGTTACGGGCTTAACAAGAAACCTGGAACTAGAGAAATCTCAAGGGATCCACAAAGATGACCCCAACTAAGAATCTAAGCAATAGTGGAGAGGCTGCCTTAAATGCCTTCCCCTATAATGAAATTGATGACTACCTTAAATGCCAGCCTAGAGCTTTCATCCAGTAGCTGATAGAAGCAGAAGCAGAGATTCACAGCTAAGCAATGAGCCTAACTCCAGAGTCCAGTTGTGGGGAGGGAGGAGTGATGAGCAAAGGGGTAAAGATCATGCTGGAGAAACCCACAGAAACAGCTGACCTGAGCAAGTGGGAGCTCACTGACTGTAGACTGGCAGCTGGGGAACCAGCATAGGACCAAACCAGGTCCCCTGAACGTGGGTGTCAGTTGAGGGACTTGGGCAGTGTATGGGGGCCGCTGGCAGTGGAACCAGTATTTGTCCGTAGTGCATGAACTTGGTTTTTGGAGCCCATTCCCCATGGAGGGATACTCTCTCAGCCTAGATACATGGGGAAGGGCCTCAGTCTTGCCCCAAATGATGTGACAGACTTTGATGATTTCCCATGGGAGGCGTCACCCTCTCTGAGGAGTAGATGGGGGGGTGGTGAGATGGTGGGGGGAGTGGGAGGATGGAGGGAGTGGGAACTTGGATTGGTATGTAAATAAGATTGTTTTTTAATTTAAATAAAAAATAAAAAATGTTGGTTTCGACTAGTTGCCAAGGAATTTTTTTTTTTCGAGACAGGGTTTCTCTGCATTGTTTTGGAGGCTGTCCTGGAATTATCTCTGTAGACCATGCTGGCCACATGCCTCTGCCTCCTGAGTGCTTGGATTAAAGGCATGCGCCACCAACGCCAGGCTGGCCAAGGAAATTTTTAAAAGGACAAATCTATATCTATACATATATATGAATTAAAGAATACAAATATCATTAATTGGCTAAATCACTATGGATGTTTCCAAATATACCTTAGGATTTACAAATTAAGTAAGTTGAACATTCATTTTAGTGTGTTATATGTTTTGGAATCAGTTTTAGGGCAGGTATTTTCCAAGTCTCAAAGGATGTATGTTTTTTCAAGATAGGGTTTGTCTGTGTAGGTTTGGCTGTCTTGGAACTCACTCCATAGACCAGGCTGGCCCTGAACTCTCAGAGATCCACCTTCATCTACCTCCTGAGTGCTGGGATTAAAGGCGTGTACCACCACTTTTTATGTAGTAAGAATATTTAACATGGTCTCTAGCCCCCTTAACGCAATTTTGAATGTATGATAGAGTCCCAATTAAGGTCAACTGACTGTATATGAATAGCATTGTTTCCAGTCTTTCTACTGAGATTCAAGGTGTGTCCCACCACCACTTGGCCTTTTTCTGTATCTAATTCTATAAAATTGGACAGATTTTGATGGTTCCTGGAATTGAATTCAGGGGCTTGTGAAGGATAGGTAAGACCACCACCAGCCCAAATTGAGCAATCTTTAAGGACCATCTCAATCCCATATTACATGTACTATTGACCTCGATTATGGCTTGGTTTGAAATATGAAATAACTAGAAAGGATTTCAGCCAACCTTTTAGTATGCCAGTCGGTTTACTGGCATCCAAGTAAACGTCCTTTAAAGTCAGTTGCCTAGAGCTGCCATAGGCCTTTGAAGAATGTTGTCATTGCTTAGAAGATACCTGTTTAAATTGCTTTGGGGAACACATTTTTTAAGTGCCAATGAAGTAACCCTATTCAGTTGGTTCACACGCTACCTTTCTGGTCAATTTTGGCTGTTTCCAAGAATTACCTTTATCTCAATGGATATTTACCACTTGAGTCTGTGCTAAACGTTCTAGAAGTGCAAACAAACCATTTCCAAATAATAGATGAAGCAGTGTTTGGACTAAGTAAATGGATGTTGAGGAGAGGACTTGAAGACCATGTTTCATTCAACAGTTGAAGCACCAAGATAAAAGAATCCCCATTGCAAAGAAGCAGGCTTTTCAGTAGGAACTGTGTAAGTATACTAACAAACCTTAAACAGATGTTTGTGCCATAATTATCTCCAAACACATAGCTGAGAGCTCACATATTTGAATGGAGTAGTGAAGGATATGGGGGTAATCAAGGGCTCATCTGAATTTCCAATTTTCTCAGTTATTAGGAAGTAACCATGTTGCTCTCATCTATATCGTTAGCATTATTTTTGAAGAGTGGGTCCCGAAGTCTCTGAAATTCTGATCTTCTCATCCGATGGCCTATGACTGCTACATCTGTAGTAAGCAGTGACTATTATAGTTCCCAGTAGAGTTCTAAACTGAGAATTAAAGTGGGTAGGATGCAAATGGCTATGCACAAACATACCTTATCTGCTGGCCCACATTACATCAGAACTAAATAAGCCTCATTAAAAAAAAGATCGCCTGTAACTCATGATCATAAGTTTTGAAGAGTTACCAGGTCTATAAATCAAAGCTACTTAGAGGCTGAGGCAGGAGAATTGCAAATTTAAGGCCAGCCTGGGAAACTGTTTCAACATTAAAACAAAAATACAAAAAAGGTCTGGGAAGTCAAGCTCAGCACTACAGAGCTTACCTAGCATGAATTGAGGCCCTGGGCTCAATACTCAGTTTCAAAGGAATAGAATCACCACACTAAAACCCCTAGAGCAGCAAATGAGGCAAAGGGACTGCATCAAAACTATACTGAGGAACTGAGTCCTATCATCAGTGGAGAGCTCTGCAGGTGCCACGGAAAACGAAAACACTGCCAGCCTAGGGTGTATAGGAAAATCCTACCCATCAGAGTGTGATGTGTTTAGAGCGAGCCATCTAAACAAAGGACTTAAAACACTCCAGAAATGGGAGATTGGATGAGGGACAGACGCCGCACAAGCACACATACACACCTATTCTGTACAGGGAAGTCAAGCAAGGCAACAGCCAGGTCAAGACAGTGGACGCATCTACTTCAGATGATACTCATCTCCCAGATTCTTGCCATATACTCCCACCTTTTTATATCAGAGATTAAGCCATTCAACCACAGAGATAAAAACCTTGGCCAAATAACAAACCCAGTACCTGCCTGTCCATACCCAGCGCAGCTGAGGCCATCAGAATCAAGGTCGAAATGGAATCCTTGATCCTAAAAATTGCCTTCATGACCAGTTTAAGGTACCAGAACCTTGATTAGTATCCACCCTTCTAAAACCCCAAAGATGAAAACGCACAAGTGATCACTTCATGCATTTTATTGATAGTCTATATTTTAAGTCTGCAGTATGACATTGTACATAGGGAAAAAGCTTCTTCCTAAAAGATAGCTATTAATAGTCAAACCAGATTTAATGAGTGACCTTTCAAGGTCTTGTTCTGCATGAAACAAGTTAAATTTTAGCAGGTGTAAAGCACTGTACAAAAAAAAGTTGAGTACATTCTCAAAATTTAATACAGGGCTTCCCAACCAGGAGTTTGCTGGATCAGATACTGGAGAAGGGGGTTTCGTTCAAATGTAAATGGAAAGGAGAAACCAGACAAAGCAAGCCAAGCAAATTCACTTCCCTTTGTGCTCCTCTGTTGCTTTCTCCAAGTGTTCCCCGGAGGTCAGGAAGCCCTGCTATGACAATCACTTTAGTTTTTACACAGCATGCACACATGTGCTTCACAGCCAAAGACTTAAGGGCTGCCCTTTCCAAATCCTTTCAAGATCTTAGGGGCTTCACAGAGCTTTCCAGGATTGCTGCTCAGTTCTTTACAGGGACCCAAGTAAACATCTACACCAAAGTAGCTTTTCCTGGGAGAAGACAGACATAGGTCCATAACCAGGCCAACTGCGTACCTACTCCACTGGACACTATAAAGCAGCAGCACCAGGAACAAATGGAGCTATCAAGAGGTAAAATACAAATGCTGGACAGTTTAAACCAATAAAATCCAATCCGTTAAAAATGTTAGTAACAGGGCACTGAGCAGAGCTAAGGCTGAGCAGTTGGCTTCACTAGAAATTGGAACTGGAAACAATCTTCAAGATGAGAAATGAGGGAAACCAAACAAGGCACAGTGGCATGATAGGGTTCACTTTCACTGCGCATCTCTAGACAGCTGCTAATCCAAGTGACTATAAAACAGCTGTGGGACTTTAATAAACAAATCCTTGCTGGGTGGGGTGAGACACACCTGTAATCCCAGCCATTAGGAGGATCAGTAATTCCAGGCCAGCCTGGGCTACAAAACAAGACCCTCTCAAAAAACCAAAACAAAAAAGTCCCAAGTATCTCACTGTAGTTCAGAGATTCGAATCCAGACACCAACAGGGACATGAAAACAATCATAAAACGGATACTTTGAAAAAATTTTCTGGTAGTAATTCTATTCTAAGCTGTAGGCTTTTAGATGCAAACTATGGTGACTTACATGAGGCCATTCACTTCCTGGAGTGTTGGACGGTATTTTAGAAATGTTCCAGTGAAGGCAAAGGAATCCTTAATTTCAGAGTGCTGAGCTAGGTAGGTTTGGTGACAAGTACTTGTATTCCAACACTCAGGAGGCAGAGGCGCAAGGACTGCCACAAATTTGAGCCTGGTCCACAGAGTAAGTTCCAAGACAGCTGAGTACACAGCACAAGACCCTATCTCAAAAACAGTAATTCAGAATGCTAAAAAACCGTACAGGGCAGATATCAAGTTCACAGCTGTCTTATTTGCTTAAACTGTGCCTTAGAATACTCTTTCCTCAGATCTTGCACTTTAACTTCCCAGGCAAAGCATGATACATCAATGTACATTTAAAATCATTTTTGAAAAGAACCAATTCCAGCACTGTTACTGAGCATTGAACATACTGAACTGTACTAACGGGGAAAAGCAGACACCTTCACACTTGCCTTCTCCACCGTGACAAAGGTACAGAAAGAACACTTTGGAAAGTAACAATCAGAACTGTCTTAGATTAGCAAGGACCCTAAGTGCTCTGCAGGTGTGGCTTCCGTGTACTGCATATTTTTGGTAAGACGCGTAACGCAGAAGCCGGTCAGGAAAAAAAAAACATTTAAAAATCAACTAAGGCATATTACAAATTATTTCCTTTCACAAAAGAATTTTAAAAGTCTCCATCTGTTAAAAAAAATGTCAACCATAAGGTGCCACTGCATTCTAGCAAACCAAATGGCCTCTAACAGTCATTTTGCAACACTGACCTCTTTTATCACATGTGTATTTGGAGAACTGACTGAAAGTCATAGAAGCCGGTGGTTAAAAACAAAACATACTAAATGCAACCCCTTCATAAATAGAAGACATTGACAAAAGCAGAGGATACTTGGCACAGAAATGAAGTTTTCCCAGGAGACAAAAACCCATTGCTTAAGGTAACACTTAACCAGTTTCCTACATTGGATGGATTCTGACAATCATATCCCCAGAGATGGACTATCTCCTGGCACTAACATTTCCTTTCCAATTGAACAATTACCTGTTCAACACTAGTATGTGAGCCTCCTCCCTCTCTCCTATGCTGCCTCTATTAACATAGTGGTGCAACTAACATGTTCTTTTCAGAGAAAATGTTCCAAATTCCCACCACAGCTCTCTTCAGTGTTACGGCAAATAGCCTGCCATTTTTTAACTTGTTCAACTTTTCAGCACTAATAAATCTCAATATGTAAGCTGCGTGGAATAAAATAAAACACTGCAAACCTTTACACTAGTAAGCGGATTAAAAAAAACCTTTGAAATAGTCAAGGAGAATCAGGCTGTAGTACTTTTCCCTATGCTTGGAACAATGTAATCTCCGAACATTATTACTGCATGAAGTTCAAAGTAGGTCTTAAAGACAGAACCTTTCCGTGATAAAGAAAAAGTGCAAAGATACAAAATGAAATGTAAAGTCTTTTGCAAGAAAATGTTCCCTCAAGAGTAGGTGTTTGGACACAAATGAGGGAAAATATTTACGTTTTTTATTGTATACCTGACACCTATACAAACAACCATATCTTTAACGTCCGCAACACCGGTAATATATAATAGTCATGGACTTTGTAAAATAAAAAAGCAAATCCCACTAAAAATACTTGTATTCATTCTCCACAACTCAAGAGATATGAGTGCTATTTGAAAGTGTCTACATGCACATCAAACATGTGCGTTCTACTGAAGGCTGGAAATGGAAGATTGGGTTCCAGTGTTTCTGAAGAGTTTCAACAACTCCATTCATAACCAGCATCCTGCTTGCGTTACCTCTGACTTCAGTACTTCACAAATGAGTAACACATTTGGGGAGGTCAGGGAGGTACCTGTTGTCAGTAACTTCATGTTTAAAATGTGCTGCAGTTGTTTTTGAGCTATAGAAAATGAACACCCCTAAAGCGGAACATTTTACCAAAAGGAAAATGGATTTGTTTTTAGTTAATCAGGACTATGCTGCAGATCTGAAAACCATACAAAGGTGACAAGGAGGTTCACAAATATAAAGGAATCCTGACTTTTACATGGACAATTCTTTTAAAAAGATAAAAATGTATTACATAAGCGCCATTAACAGTGAAATCTGCTTATATTAAAAAAAATAAGTGAAGCTTTGTTTGGACATTATTTCCTTGCAAGAGCAGTACATATCCTTTGTAAACAACTACCATATTTACAATTTAATTTCCTTGATACTTAGGTAGGATTGAAAGCCAGAGTAAAACATGAAAGAATGAACTTTGAAATAATCTTTACTGCTAAGGTCATATCAGTGAGGGTAAGCAGGTAATTTCTAAATCAGATGTGGGTAAAACATTTTCTGGAGTCCTGAACTAAACCTGAATAGTTAGTTCATTTGGCCAGGGATGTATGTGTGTTCAATCCAGCTTCTTTTCTGGCCTGGTAGCTTTACCTCAAAGAAATGGCCAGACTAATCTTAACCCCAATCTGCCTCAAAAGAAAAACCAGGCAAGAGTATTGGGGTTACCACAATCTAGTCTTACCACTAAAAAACAATAAAGTGCGTGTCCATAGATGTGAGCCAGCAATCTCATCTTCAAATATGGGCAACACAACTGGAATCTGAATTTCAAGTAACCCGACATGCCTCACTTTCAATAAAAGATAAAGTCTCTTAATTTATGAACAGGTCTTTAAATGTGGCATGTTAGATCTGCTAGTACAGCAATGAAATAGACAAGTGTGCACTAGTACCTTAATGATAAATCTCGAAAACAAGCAAATCCGAGACTTTTCCAATAGCACACCCATCTGTACCAACAAAAATCCTTCCTTTAAAATTGGTTTAGAAATCTCTTTCCCCACCTTTCTTTCCTATTTTTTTTGAGGAGCAGATTGCAAAAACATCAACTTAACTCGTGCTAGGTGGTAGTGCTTTGTTTTTCTTAAACCAAAGACAGCTCTGCCAAATTTGCTGATCTTCATCTATTCAAGTAGAATACTGGGTCAAGCTGCTGTGCCTTTCACCATATGAAGCCAGTTCATGTCTATATTACTGTCATCATGAAAATGTCCCATTCTTCAGAGCAGTTTTCTTTACCCTCATCTATCATTTCCTGCCTAAATCCAAGTTAAAACACATGATCTCCACTGGTCTTTAATGCATTTGACTCTGCATGGTCCTTTCCTTTTCATGTCACAGTAGCTGTTCACAAATACATTAAATAGAGATATGTTCTGCTCTTGACATCTGCACACTTACAAAAGCAGCTTCGTACTTTGTTTGGTGTGTTTGTTTTACTATGCTGGCTCACAAAAAGCAGTTCTCATTTCTAAGCATGGTACTTTACAATTTTGAATGCATTAATACAACAGTGCATTGGAAAAGTACTGAGCCTCTACAAAATAGCTTTACATTTTTAAACAAATGAATGTGATTTTTTTCACTTACACAAGCATAGGTTTTTTTTAATATTTCCACAAGATAAATATCTCAATTAAACTATAAGTTCACTCTATTGTGTGCCACAGTGATGGGCTTAGGACAGTTAATACACTTAGAAGATCCTAACTGTTTAGTGTTATTTACACTGGTATGTCCATCGTCACCTACTCGGGAAGGTGAACAAACAATATCCAGAATGTGACTGAATTTGTGTCAATAACTGGGAATGGTATAGTTTCAGTTCATCACTTACAAAACGCATAATGGAACTTAGTCTTGAGTGGGAATTCTTCATGCCTCTCTTATGGCCTGGGAAACTTTCAAAAGAGGTCAACATGATAGAAGCCACTGCTAGGGCAGACCTTAAGATAACAAAGGGAAAAATGACAAGTGTACATGGGTAAATTATGAGTAACAGGTTAGCAATTATCTGGTGCTGAAACCAAACATTTAAGTCCTAAAACGTTGCTTCTGAAATATTCTTTGCATCCTGAAAGAGAAATTAGAGAAAAGACATGATTCCCTCAGAAAGCAATGACTCAATTCAGGTTATGACTTTATATTTAAGCACCACTCAAAAAAGTGAACATAAAGCAAGTGATTTCTGTTTGCCCATCACTATTCCAGCTACACAGCTGAGAGTTCTGTTCTCATTATGCAACACTTTCTCGGTTCCCAGAAGATAAGACTGCCCTGCGACAAATGGGACAGGTGGAATTCTCCGATAACCAGCGGTCGATGCAGTGGACGTGGTACTCATGGGAGCAAGGTAGTTTTCGGAGTTTGTTGCCTTCCGTATATTCTGTAATGCAAACGCTGCATGTTTTCAATGCATCGTTTTCACCAAAACTTCTCATTGCCAAGTTATCGATCTGTTCTTTGGTGAGTCCTCTAGGTTGGTCGTCGTCATCCTCATTCAAGAGGAAAAACTGAGCCAGACTAAGGAATGGCAAAGAGCCACTTTCATCAAATGCAACTGGGGCCCTGTGTCGACCATCTCTCCGGCCACCTGCTGGGCCAGTTGAGCCTCCTTCATTACTGCCTTCGAACATCTCTGAGCTACTTTCTGAACTTTCACCGCTAGAACTGGGGCTAGGGCTGGAGTGAGCGCCGGAACCAGAGTTGTTACCACCAGAGTTCCCTCTTCCACTCCGTGTCTCTACTCTCTCTATATTTCGACTGGAAACTGAGGCACTAGGCTCTGAGTCACTGTCACTGTACATAAAGTAGCTTAGCTCACCAAAACCTGTCATTATCTGCCTTAACATGGTTTGAATCGCAACAGATGTAGTTTCACTTAATCCAGTATTTAAGATTCTACGAATGGGAATCCTGATAGTACTGACATAGGTTCTCACACCTGCACGTTCAGAACGTGAAAAGGTGCGCCTAAAGCCTCCACGTTCACTCTCATAGGTGACTGTGTTGTTTGGTGCTTGAGACCTGGACCGAGTTCTGCTAGCTATACTATCTCTCTGTCGGTATTCTCCAGGACGAACTCTTCTTACTTGAAGGTCAAGGACTATGGTTGGCGGTCTCTGACCAGACCCCGCAGATTCACCATTGCTAACTGTGTCTGAAGAACTTGTCCCCTGAGAGGCACTTCTTGGCCCAGAAGCCGCAAAAAGACCTCTACCTAGCAGCTCAGGTCCAGTTATCTGCTGTCTTAAGGTCACATGGTGACGGGTTCTAGAACTTCCCTCAATCTCATTTACCAAAGGGTTCTCCAAAGTCTGAGATGAGTTATTATGATGAGATCTTCGTGGAACTTCACTTGTTGGGTGCAGAGGTGACCTACTTCTTTCAGCTCTGGCTCGGGTTCTCCGATGTTCTGGGCTCCGGCTTCTTGCTCTCCTCTGACCTCTGGTGGATGGCACTTCTGTTAATGTTTCAGCTGAATTGCGTTCTGACCTAGATGGTCTGGCAGATGATGTCTCAGATGCTGGGCTTTCCATTTGCCTTTGGCTGCTGTTTTCCATGTTTTCTATACTAAGACGTCTAGCAGATGGTTCATTCTCATTCTCTGGGGTTTGGCTTCCATTATTACGGTTAACATTTATCTCTAAACTGAATCTGAAATCACCACTGTTTGGATTAGTCCGACTCACTGCCCTCCAGGACTGATTTCCTCTCTGACCACTTCTTGTTGTATTGCCAGTCTGTCTGACTGAGTTAAGCCAATCTATTATAGAGTCACCATTGGACACGTCATCTGAAGAGTCTCCACCTGTTTAAAACAAAGAAGGGGGAGAGGGAGAGAAAGGAACTACAAAAATTAGGACAATCATATAAATAACATTCAAGAATCTTCCAATTTTGAACAAATTTTACTTTTACAGATCTTATACTGTATGCAACACTGATTTCTAAGGAAAAAGCAAAAGTTCAGGTGTTTGAAAAGAGAAAGCTAAGGGTAACAGAATTTTGTTTTCATAGGGGACCTGGGGGAAGTTGTTTTAATCATTTCATTTCATAAGAGCCTATTAACAGTGGTTCTCAACCTGTGGGTCACAGCCCCATCAGGAGGAATGAGTGCTATTTCAGGTATCTTGCATAGCAGATATTTACATTATGATTCTTAACAGGAGCAAAATTACAGGTATGAAGTAGCAATGAAAATAATGTTATGGTTGGGGTCAGCACAACATGAAGTGTATTAAACGGTCACAGCATTAGGAAAGTTGAGAACCGCTGGTCTAGAAGAAGCTGTGAGACTGTGAGAAGGCAACTTGTTTCTTCCAGTCCACTGTCTAAACAAAATCAAACTACATGATTGCTAGTTGTGGGGGGTTGTGTTGGTATTTTAGCTCCAATTATATTTCTACCAAAGTTTCAGTCACTTATTACTTCATCTAGGGGCCTAGCTTAAGTGTCTTAGATAATATGAAGTTGCTTTAAAATATATTCTGCAGCCATAGCAAAAAATACACAAGGTTAATGGTTTAAATTACTTGAATATATGTCAATATCAAGATGTTAAACTATCATGAAAATGAAGACAATGAACGGTCTGAACCTAGAGAAACAGCATACCTAACAGTATGTTCATAATCTAATGCACCACCATAGCTCCTAGGTTATAGTCAATCCCTATTTCCTGTGGAGAGGGAAGAACCAGCCCTGAGGCTATAACCAGCTTGCTCAGCAGCAGCACTGACACTATGAGCCAATTAATGCTGGGAAGAGTGGCGTGCATTGTAGGACATCAGGACGGTTGGCAGTGTAACTTCACTCTGCTGCTAGATACTAATAGCAAACCCTCATCAGTTGTGTCAAGCAAGGCATCTCCAGTCATTGCTAATACTCCCCAAGGGAAACAAAATCACACCCAGTAGAAAGGCACTGGGGCAGACAAAACAGCATTCCCTTTTGCTGATGAAGACTAAATAGCAGGAAATTTCAATGGATGTGGAAAGCCAAGGGGAGGAAAATCTCATTTAAATAGGCTACTTCTTACTGTGGCCCAATTAACACAAACAATCCAAAGGTAAGGCCGAAAACAGCATGCTGACATTCTCAAATAGCAAGAAAATGCCACTTCTTTTCTTTTTTATGAAGTTACTTATCATCACATTAATTGTGGCATTTGCGGATAATCTTTTGGTTGACATTTACTATTACAAAGTTCCCATCATCCACTAGCCACCTCCCAAAGCCCAGCATACCTCTGTTTTCGTCTGAGCTCTGTGGTGGCGGGCCCTCTTTAATTTGCTGTAGTCTTCTGAGCAACTCCTCCTCAGTACTTTCACCTGAAGGTGGGACAATGGTTGCCAATTTACAAATGACAGTCGGTGAGTCAGTCAGCCCTTTTGCCACCCTCATGATTCTTGTTGAAGAAGGCTTCACCCAGGCTGACTTCAAACTCAACAACCTCCTGCCTCAGCCTCCTGTGTAGCTGGGATTACAGGCACATGCCACCACATGTCTGGCTTCTTGATCTGCACTTTAAATTGAGTGACTGATTTGCCAGAAACCACACAGAGTAACAGCAGGGCGAAAACTGCAGTTAAGACATTCTAATTAGTGTCTGGTATTATTTGCTCAAAATGCTCCACCTAGTCTTGCTAAAAACCTTACCTTTGAAAATCAATGAAACCATCCACAGGTTGGTAGAAATAGAAATGGGAAAGAAGATGTAGACTGAGTGCTAACTAGAACAAATGAGGCCCGATCTGAGTAAAAGGGAGTAACTAAGGACAACGTTCTAGCTGCCATTTACCCACAGCTAACTCTGCAGGGTTACAGCTGGGACAAATTCAGAGAATAAAGAATGACAAGATAAGATGTCTGTTCTAGAAACTAGTATTAGTTACTTTGTAACTGGATGCATGGCAAGCCAGCTAACCTGTTCAGCTCACTTCTATTTAATCCATTCCACGAAAAATGTATATTACAATTCAAAAAATTCCAAACATCTCTGACACAATTGTTCCAATTATGAAAGAATGGAACCAGGTAATAAATATGGCAGTAAATGCCATTCAGTATCTCTTGTATTAGTCATTTTTCATAAAAAAACACCGTAAAACAAGCCACTTCTTAAAACAATTTACATTAGATGTAGCTTACCTGGGGTGCCCAGCAAATTGTTGTCTCTCATAAGTCTATAATCTTCTTCGCTCAGATTATTTACGAATTGATAGAAAGCTTCTTCCCGGTCCAATCGATCCATTTGACTTCTGCGCTGTGCTGCAGATTGATCATTTCCTTTATCGTTAGAATCTGAGGTGTCCATCTTGATAAACAAGTGGAAATTTATCTAAAAAGAGAAAGACCAACTTGAAAACAGATGTCATTATGTATTCCATAGTGTTATTTACATGGAAATCTAAATGCAGGTATAAAGAGGAATTTTTAAAAAAATGAACAAATGAAATGTAACAGGAAAACCTTAGACAAGCACTGTTACACTAGGAAGAGTAGGTCAGGGAGTTAGCAAGCTATATGCTTGGGCTACATTTAGAAATGGGGCCTATTTTTATTTTCCTTGTAATATAAAAATGGTTTTTACATTGAAATGCTAGCAACAGAACCCAGGGCCCTGCATGCATGCACTCCACCAGCTCTTGGGTCTTACAGTTATTTCAGTCAAGGAAATCTCTGTGCGGTTCAGTTAACTCAAACATGGTTCTCCCGCCTGAGTGCTGCTGGGCTTACAGAGGCGTGCTACAAAGCATGGCTACTTGCACACTTTAAAAATTGTCTGTGGCTGGGCGTTGGTGGCACACGCCTTTAATCCCAGCACTCGGGAGGCAGAGGCAGGTGGATCTCCGTGAGTTGGAGACCATCTTGGTCTACAGAGCGAGTTCTAGGACAGCCTCCAAAACAGAGAAACCCTGTCTCAAAAAATCAAAAAACCAAACAAAAGAACAAAAAACCCCCTGTGATGTATGAAGACTGTTAAATACCCACTTCGGTATTCATAGTCTTACTGGAGCCCAGCCATGCACGCGTGTGTTCCACTGGCAGAACCGAGCACTGTGATGGACTGTACATGGCTCCCTCACTGCTCTGCACTTTCTGCACTTGTGCCATTGCAATGCACCTGGAACTTGGCAGCAGTATTTCAAGTATGGCATGTGCATGATCCTATGACTTTTTTAAAAATGCACAAGGACAGTCACTGTGGCAACTGAAAAGTGTACTTTGAACATCACACATAAAGGCACAGCAGAGGATAACTAATTCTCGCCTGATTGGATGACCAAGGTTGCACGCAGGCAGACACTATGAATACGCTAAAGCAGTACAAAAATTAGATTAAAATACTTGTCAAAATTCTCCCAATACAGGAAACCTATGCTCTGCAAATTAGAAAAAAACTCAAGCTAAAGGATTTCACCTAAATCACTTCTTCATAAAAATTTACACACTGGAATACTATTCAGTTGTTAAAAATGAAATTATAGAATTTATAGGTCAATGGATCGAGATAGAAAAATTCATTCAGATTCAAAGAAAAATATTGTGGTTTTTTTCTATCACGTGGATCTTATCTTTTAAGCCTCCAATAGACGTGTTACAATCCATAACTAGAGGTTAGGTGTCAAGTAAGGAACTGGGAGACACGGTTTTTTGTCTGCTCATTTGTTTTCTAAGGAGGGGTGTGTGGTGGTATCTTGTTTGTACAAATAAAACCTGTCTGAAGAGCAGAGAATAGAGCTTGTCACTAGCTAACCATAGAGACCTGGGGGTTTGTACAAGCAAGATATCACCATAAGGGTGGAGTTGGGTGAATGGGGATGGAGGAGGAGAAACCATGGTCACTACATTGTATGAAAAATTTTCAATAATAAAAGAAAAATGAGAATTTAACCAAATTTCCAAATGACTTGTTTCTTTTTCCTGAGCAAAGAAAGTCATTTTATCAATGGAAATGAAATTTTGTTTAAGGGCAGAAATGTGTACAAAGAACATGAACTTGTTAGTATTAGACTTTTGGTTAATATAGTTCTACAAAATGCTGAGGGTACTGGACAGGCTGTGAGGATACACAGACCATACAAGTAATGGAGTGGGTAGTGATGAGTCAATAAATACAACCAACGAGTGTTCAAGTGTTTCTTTCCCTAGGCAAGTGTTGATTATTCAAGTATAAACTAACTGTACAACTAGTCCCATGAATCGTTCACATGAAACAACAGGTGAGAATATAGCCCAGGCTGGCCTTGAAGCATCAATCTTCCTGGCCTAACTTTCTGAATGTTAAGACGAGGTGTTTTAAAGGAAGTTGAGTAACTGTGAGTTCAAGGCCAGCCTGGTCTACAGAGAGAGTTCCTGGACAGCCTCCAAAACAAAACAACAAAAAAAAAAGAAGTTGAGTAAATACTTAATTTAGCACAACTTAATGCAGGTCTGCCAAGATGATTTATAAATGAAATAAAAATATGTGTGGAGTAGGGAAAAACCTGGTGGGACTATTTATGTTTTATGAAAATGCAAATGTTTCTAAAGCTTCTGGTTACCCATTTTATTTTCTTCAACAAGTACTTTGAAGAAAGTATTAGAATCCATCATGTTACTGAACCAATAATGTCAATGTAAACCTCATTCTTGTGAACTTAATCATCTTGAGTTGTATGGATTTTTTTGTCAATAATCTTCCTTTTTGAGACACAGTTTTGCTATATAGCCTTGACTGGCCTAGAACTCACTTTGGAGATCTACGTGGCTTCAAACTCAAGAGATCTGTCTGCCTCTGCCTTCTGAGTGCTAGGATTCTGTCAGAAATCTACTACTTTGTTTTGTTTTGAAGATAGGGTCTTACTTTGCAGCCTATGTTAGCCTTAAACTCATGAAAATCCTGCTTCATAGGCTTAGCATTTCCATGCAGCATTTTGATGGCTTAACACTGGTACGATTTGTAGGACTTGGGTCAAAGATCTTTTTTTTCTTAATGAGAACAACCTCAAATAATACCAAATGCAAATGGCCGGAGGAATTAAGTTTGGCTGGTAACTAGCAGATAATGTCTCTAAATGAATAATAAGACAGTCAATGCTTATACACAGAACTTAAAAGTCACTGCAGCAGTAGGGTATCACAAGCTATCAAAGACACAAGAGCGCCATTCCCTCGATGCTAAGCAGAGATTATCTCTGATCTCCAACTACAGTTCCAAAAGTGCAAAGTGAATTTCCTCTGTTTAAACTTCATGCACTAGGGTGGAGCAATGGCTCAGTGATTAAAAGCTCTGGCTGCTGGAGCAGAGGAACCAGATTTGGTTGTGAGCACCAACATGACAGCTCGCAACCATCTGTAGCTACATTTCTAGAGGAGCTGACACTTTTCTGGGCCTTCACAGACACTAAGCAATCACTCAGTGCACACATACATACAGGCAAAAAAAACCTCCTACACATTAAAATCTCAAAATAAAATTCATACAGAGTGTAGATGAGGAGCTTCTACCTAGCTTTAAAGGGAAATAGCAACCCTAAGAAATAAGATACTAAAAGGTACTTAGGAACTGAATCTCTAAGAGATGAATATGCACCATTAAAACCAAGCCTGGCCGGGCGGTGGTGGTGCACGCCTTCAATCCCAGCACTCGGGAGGCAGAGGCAGGTGGATCTCTGTGAGTTCAAGGCCAGCCTGGTCTACAGAGCGAGCTCCAGGACAGCCTCCAAAACAATACAGAGAAACCTGTCTCGAAAAACAAAAACAAAAAAAAAAACAAGCGTGTAGGCATTTTCAAAGATGAAACATGCACAGCCCCTGTCCTCAAATCCACAAACAACATACAAATGAAGACATGTAAAAATCTCATTTCAAGTTACCCACATGGACAAACATTTGCAAATGTTCAATAAGGTACACTAACTTTAAATTTCAGAAAAGGAAAATATTGCTCCCAAAAAAGAATGCCATTCTTCTCATTTGTTAACTTGTATTAGGTGATAATGTACTCAACTATTATTATTACCCATTGAAATTTATTAGGTCAATCATGATGGTACAAGCTTTCAAATCAGACACTCAGGAGATTGAGGCCAAAGGATGCTTTGGATATTTTTTACACAGGGTTTCATGTAGCACAGGCTGGCTTCAAACTCTGGATCCTTCTGACTCCATGATCCAAGTACTGTGCAAACAGGTAGAGAGAGAGGGAGGGAGTGAAGAAGGGAGGGAGGGAAGAAGGGAGGGAGTGTGTGTGTGTGTGTGTGTGTGTGTGTGTGTGTGTGTGTGTGTGTGTGACCATGTCTGGCTCTGAAAACAAAGGATTTTGAATTCCTGGCTAGCCTGGGAAACATAGTAAGACTTCATCTCAAAATTATGAACAAACCCCCAAACAAAACAACAAAACAAAAAAGGAGGGGGTGACCTTTCTGGAATTTTGGCTTCTCTCTTTCACCTGCTGAAACCCTAACCCTCAAGGGTACAGTATTAGGAAGACCTTCTAAGAAACCCTTAGAGAGATACCCTGACATTTTCATCAATGAGAATACAGTAAGAGCCATAAAGTTAACCCCCGCCAACCACTAAGCTGTCCAGGCCTTGTTTCTGACTTAATCCTGCCTCCTGAACTCTGCCTTCTGCTGTTTATAGGATATGTAGCTTAGGGCATTCTATTACAGTAACCCAAACCAACAAGGACAATATGAAAATTTAAATTTGTGGTAGAAAGTACTATAATTTACCCCATCCCACATATGTAGAATGTACCAGAATCTTTATAAATCAATCCAAAAGGAAACAACAAAAGCCTGCTCAGTCAGTATAGTAGCTCACACTTGTAACTCCCATACCTGGAAGACCCAGAACATTGCAAAGCCAGCTCAAGATACAGAGTTCTGTCTCAACAACAAAAAACAAACCCTATTCCTGCATATAGGGGCCCATTCTTGTCAAATTTTGCCCACTTACTTACTTGCAGCTAAATAGTCTAGACATAGCCAACACCTAGATCCTCATTCCATCTCCCTTAGATTATTATTTTCGTTTGTTTTTTTGAGACAGGGTTTCTCTGTATAACATCTTTGGCTGTCCTGGAGCTCACTTTGTAGGTCAGGCTGGCCTGGAACTCAGAGATCTGCCTGCCTCTGCCTCCCAAGTACTGGGATTAAAGGTGTGTACCACTATGCCCAGGTTATTAAAACTACCCCATTACTGTTTAAATCAATAAGATGAGCATGGCAAGGAAGTAGAAAGGCCATAGCATTTTCAGTTCCCTAATCTCATTACTAAGATTCTTTAGTTTCTATGGAAATTTCTGACAAGTGTTTTAATAACTTTGACACTATGGGAGGACTAGAAATCAGAGAGTGAACAGTCATGGAAGTCATATGGGTAAAATGCAAGAGCAACACAAGCCACCATTTTTCCCTACAAGTAACAAGAGTTGGTATAGGCAAAGGTAGCAGTGGCTCCTTTTTAAAAGAGAAATGCATAAAGGAAAAGAAAACAAAACCCTCAAGCCATAAATAATTTCCTAAAGAAAACTACCACTAACGTTTAACATTCTTAAAGCAGTCAATGTTCTGACCACTAAAACAAGTTAGGACAAAATCTACTTGTGAAGGATCAGCAAACAACTCCCAAAAAACCTGCTGGCTCAATAGGTTTTCAAAATATAAATCTTCCAAAGAAAGCAAAAACATCTGATAAGTTGGTGGCACGTGCCTTTTAATCCCAGCACTCGGGAGGCAGAAACAGGCGGGTCTCTGTGAGTATGAGGTCACCTGGTCTGCAAATCGAGTTTCAGGACAGGCTCCAAAGCTACACAGAGAAACCCTGTCTTGAAAAGACAAAAAAGTACTAAGTCTAAATAAAGCACAGCAAAATACAGAGAAAGGCAGAGCATGGAATCCCAGCACCAGGGAAGCAGTGACAGAAGCAGATGGATCTCTGAATTCAAGGCCAGTCTGGTCTACGTATAGTGAGATTCAGAGTAGCCAGGGATACACTTTGAGACCCTATTTTTTTAGAGAGAGGAAGGAGAGAACAGAAAGATCCCTTCAAATAGAAAGGCATAACACAAGAAAATACAATCATAGTGTCAAACTAGAGCCAAGAGTTGACAAAAACAGGAAAGCCAGTAATTCTTCCTTGTAATACAACAGTACAACAAAACTGCCCCCAAATAGAGATGCAATCAGCACCTTAAAGCAAGCAAGCTACCTGAATCTGTAGTTATACAGTGTAGATATTGAACAGAAGTTAGAACAGATGGAATTCAAAAGACTCTGAACTAAAATGTCATTAAGTACAGGTTATGTCTTCCCCTTGTTATATTGAACTCTATGTTTCCATGACACAAAATTCTACTTTTCTTGGCAAGGCCTATAGAGATAATGAGACCCTGCCTCAAAATAGAACACAAAGACCAGTTCCAAATTCCTTTTACTTCCATAATGTCATGCTGCTGTACATTTCCCTTACACTCGTCAATACTTATCTGAGAAATCTCTCTACATGTTTCTGCAACATACTTTTACTCCAAAACTCCAAGCAAACTAGGAAGGCCTCACTAAACAGAACACAGTGTTTGCTAAAGTAGTGGCTTCCATCAAAGAAAAATCTGTTCCTTGTAATTATTTTGGGGACAGGGAGAATAATAAAATCTAATTAGATTCCTTCCCTACTTCTGCCTCAACTCGCCATCCTTTCTGCTTTCATTCTGCACTGGCTAAGAGTGGAGTAAGTGAAAAGATTCAGCACTGGGAAGGCACAGTCATCCTGCAGGGGCAGTCACATGGGAAGTGGAGGTAGGTCCCTGAGTCTGAGTAACTGCTTACATTTTGAAAGACAAGGAAATTCTGAATGCAAGCAGTGATCTTAATGCCTGGTAAAGCAATCTTACTGAGAAACACTCAATGAGCCTGGTCTCATTTTAAAGAGCCTTGCACTAGTGTGACATAAAATGAAGAAAGGTAATAAATGCAACGTTCTAGCCGATAGATAGCACATTGCTATTGTTTGTGAGTGAAGAAAGAACATTTTAAAGTAAAGGTGTGTCAAAGATGTTAGGGAAGCTGATCCAAATAACCAAATGCAGTCTTTTCTGCACTTTAGTATGAAAATATCAGTAAAAATGTTAAATGGCTCTTCTGACATATATGATGAACCGTGGTCATTTCCAGTTGAACTAGTAACAGAAAAAGAGCTAGGGGCATGTTGCTCAGGTGCAGAGTGCTTGCCTAGTATATGTGAAGCCCAGATTTCCTGAGGTGAGTGGAGGGAAAAGAAGACCCACACACCCTAGACTCCTTCCACATCCCCACAGAGGATCTTTAACCCATCACCTCATTCTCATGGTTTGATACTCATGGCACAGATCATATACTCGCAATGGTTAGCTTCAGACATTTTGAAACAATTATTTCCTCAGAAGATTACCAATAAGACTCACACACCTTTAAACCCAGGACTCCGGAGGCAGAGGCCGGTGGATCTCTAAGTTGGAGGCCAGCCTGATCTACCCAGCAAGTTCAGAACAGCCAGGACAACTCAGAGAAACCCTGTCTCAACACACCTCACCCAAAAAGAATACCAATAAAAGCCTACTGTAGAGAAAAATCCAATTCTTCTTAAAGCACTTAGCTCTCTGCCCTGGTTATAAAACAATAAAAATCTTTTTAACCATTCTATACCTAATCCTGACAACAATCCCATAAAGCAGGAATCCTGCCTCAAGTTCACAGGTAAGAATCCTAAGATGGAAGGAAAGAGTGATCTGTCAAAGCCCTGTGGACAATAAATGGTCAGCAATTAAATGCAGGACTACTGATGCCAAGTCAATGGATTTTTCCACTAAATGACTACCCCTCCCAGTATATCCCAGATTGTGTGCTTTAACGTACATCCCTTAAAAGCAATAGGCATGGTAACTGAATCCCATGGGCTCTTTATGCCAGTCCTTGTATAAATACCTTCAAACAGGAGAAAACTTTTTTGTGGTGCTGAGGATTGAACCTGGGGCTTTACACATGCAAGACAAGCACACTAATACATTGAGCTACATCCTTAGCACTCTTTGAGACATTTTCACTATTAACTTCCTGCCTCAGCCTCCCAAGTAGCTGGGATTACAAGGCCCACATCACGAAGTCCACTAACCAAACAGCTTTTGATTGATAATCACTCTTCCACTGAGTTATATCCCTAGCCCACAAAACATCTTGTACTGGCACAAACCGGCAGATTTTTCTCTTTTCTGGTCTGCTATTGGAGGGACATGAGCCACTATGTAACCTAGCCCTGTGTCACCACACTGGCTCTGTCATTTTCTTCAACAGTGCTGGAAATGGATTGTGCATATTAGGCAAACTCTACCACCGAGCCATACAACTCAGCTTGCATCTTATTTATTTTTCTCCACTTTATTTTTGCCAATAAAGTATTAGTTCAATAATACTAACACCGAAAGGAAAAGCCACCTGTTTGTTCAACCATAGCCACGTATGAAGAGGAACACCTTAATCCCAGCACTTAGGGCAGGCAGATCTCTGAGTTTGAGGACAGCCAGGCAAACATAGTGAAACTTTATCTCAAAGTAGGTTAAACCAGTTGGGTGATGGTGGTACACACCTTTAATTCCAGCAATTGGAGGCAACTGGAGGCAGAGGCAGGAGTATCTCTGTGAGTTCAAGGCATTCTGGTCTACAAATCAAGTTCCAGGACAGCCAGGGCTCTTTTATAAAGAGAAACCCGGGTCTCAAAAAACCAAACCAAACCAAAAAAGTTTACAATGTGAGATAGGCCTGTGGCAAAGGTCTGGAATCCTAGCTAATGGGAAATCTAAGGCAAGAGGATCACAAGTTCAAGGCCTACCTGTGCAACAGTTAGTTCCAGGGTAGCCTAGGTAGGCAACTTCGTGAGACGTGATCTCAAATTACAAAATAAAATGTAAAAACAGGGTTAGGCCAACAACTCAATAGTACAGAACTTGCCTGTTATGCATAAGACTCTAGGTTCAAACCCCAGTTCCACCAAAAGGTTAAATCAAATGGCCTACTAGATCTGCCATCAGGATAAAAACATCATCAAGTAGATACCAAAAGTGCTAAGAATTTTTCTTTGTAGAATGTTTAAAATTTATCAAATTTATAATAGATAAATAGATGGAAGTTTAGCTGTGCATTTCAGTCATCTTTCACTTTTAAAAATATGAAGCATCCTCAAACCAAACAAAAAACCAGGGCACTAGGCATAGGGAAACATACTTTTAATTTCAGTACTCAAGAGGCAGAACTCGACAAGGACAGAGGGACTAGGGATGGCTGCATGGTGTGAGTACTTGTTACTCTTACAAAAGACCTGATTTCCTAGCACTACATGGTGGTTCACTACCATCAGTAACTTTGGTTCCAGGGAATCCGACATCCTCCCCTGGCCTAAATGAGCAATATGATACATATAAATACATACATGTAAAATACGCATACAAATAAAATAGGCTAATTAAAAACAACAGGACAGGGTTGTTTTACTGCATTCACTTATGTAAGATACTGCTTACCAACCACATTATTTGGTGAAATGGTTCCAGTAGTACACCGAGACCTGAATAGACACTTAGCTTTGCTTATAATCTCCTATCTTTACCTCTTGTAAAGGGCAGCTGAAAAATCCAAAACTGATTCAGGAATGACCCTCATGTCTAATCTCTTGGCAGGAAGAACACTGACTTGCAGTTCACAATTCCGACTACAAGTCTCTAAAACAATTGAATTGAAAGTGTATTAAGAACTACATAGTAAATTAAATGCTACCAATTTATAGGGTCAAGTTAGTGGGAAACTACTATGATGGCATTTCATCCCATTCAAGTAATTCAGACAGTGAATTTAATCTTCAATCACCCATTCCATGTTCTTTTATTACTGTTCTATCTCATTAAATCAGAATAAACGCAATTTCAAATTGCTTTTTATTGGGGGGGGAGGGCACGGGAGGAAGGGAGGGAATGGGAGAGGGACCTGGAACTGACTTGTGAAGCAACCTTGTTTCTTATCTAAATTTAAACTGGAAAATAAAATTTAAAAAAATTGCTTTTTATTATTCTGAAGAACTTAAAAATACCCCACATTTCTGCTTATTTGAAAGGGCAATTAATACAAAAATCTCTGATTATTAGTAGTGTTGATAGTAATCAGTAACTATAATACCATTTCAGGACGTAAGACTTCCCATCAAGCTGGGCCTGTGAAACACTCCTGTAATCCCAGCAGTTGGAAGACTGAGGTAGGAGGATCATGAGTTCAAGGCTGGCTTGGGCTATACAAGAAACCCCTCTTATCAAAAAACAAACAAAATAAAAAATATTTTCCCTAAAATACCTGGAGGATGAGATAGGAGGATTTCTGCGAGGTTGATATATACTTGGTTCCAGGACAACTTGGTCTATAGAAGAGACCTTGCCTCAAAAAAAAAAATCAAAAATAAAACACAACCAAAGTTTGGCATTATCACCTCTATCAATCACTTAATTTTAGTTAAGGAAAACAATTTTAAGATTAAACATGCTGACAACTAAATCCTCCCTGAACCAGTGTTCCTACACAGAATTCACTGAGGGTAGCCTTGAACCCTGGTCTGACCCATACATACACAAAGAATCTTTTATACCTGTACTTAGGTCATCATTACATACAAGCATCTCTCCCCACCCAAACTCGAGGTGCAGTTATTACCTTTAACCTACCAAAACACTCACTCATTCACTCCACCCACCCCCTCTCTCCTCTCCTTCCCCTCTCCCTCCCCTCCCTCCCTCTCTCTCCCTCCCCCCCTCCTGGTATCTACTACAAACATTTGTCTCACACATGACAGTGCTGCTATAATTAATGAAATCAAAATCTCAAGTTAAAGTACTGCAATATGAGAAAAATCTAAAACAAAAAAGACAACTACATATTTCAGGTGGAAAATCCAATGTTCAAAAACGTACACACATCATTGAGGAATTATCTTTAAAAAACCCAGTTAATTAGAGGGGGAAAAGTGAACAGCTTTACATCATCTAGGAAATGTCCCTATTCAAAGCAGAGAAAAAATAATGAAGAAAAAAATCAGACAAGGAAAACACAGACATGGAACTATACTATCTTAGCAATGGTTATCAAAACTTCAAAGTACTACATAAAGTGGGACATGAAGACTTAGAAATCTGCTCTCATCCTGGGCACAAACCCAAACGCAGCACCTCATTGGTCTGGTTTTGACTATTAGCCACTCTATGGTAAACCACAGGAACAGGGTGCTAGTCAGTGAGGTACTATTCCCCAGTCCTATACGATTATGGGAAAAGTACACATACCACAATTCTGTAAATGGAAATGCTCTACTTGACTTGCTCCTCCTGAAAACCTTACTACAATGTTACCAAATAAAAGACAGAATCTAACATTTCTAAAGATTTTAGTGAGCTATTTAAGAGTCCTTGTTGTAATCTTTTTTTGAGACAAAGTCTCACTATGTAAAACTGGCTGGCCTAGGAACTCACATTCCGGATCTCAAATTGTGGTGATCCTCCTATGTCTGACCCCACCCAAAGTGCCAGTATTCCAGATGTGGGCCACGATGACACTCTGATTTTTTAAAGTAAATTTATCAATTTACACCAAGAACAATAATAATTGAAACAGAAACTATAACAAAACACCTAAATAATGCAGTTGCTGGATAACTCTCACTGTTCCACTGAGGCAAACTATTTTTACAAGTTAATGACACTGTCTGATGCAGGATAACTTACAGATTATGGCCTTTAATTTCCACTAGCTTTCTGATGTAACTGGGTAAGTTTGGTGACTTTAAGTGTCAGACAGGCATGAGATAATGAGGGCTCCACCACATACTAATATTTCACAAATCACTCAACTTCTCTCAGAGTAGTCTGCTTCTTCCTTAAAACAGTTAACATCCCATAAAGATCTGATTGTGAGGGGTACAAAATAATACACACCAAACCAGAGCCTAGGAATACTCTTCAAGAGAAGTTAATTATAAATGTAGCCTAGTTAACTGGCCAGCAGAGTTTGCTTTGGACAACCCAAGTTTACACAGATTTTCTAGGAACATTTAAAATGGTCCACTTACGTTTCAAGTGTCCTGGCTAGTGCAAGCAAGTAATTTATGTGGTTATCTTTCAATGTTGCTAACAATAACAGAATTAATTAGAGCAATACATACCAATATGGCTTCTTGAATCTTGAAGGGGAAAAATAAAATGGCAGACAAAATAACTCACATTCAATTGAGATTTCATTTAGTTATTCCCTTAACATTTAAAAGCAATTTCTTATACCCAGGTCTTTCCAACAATATCTTAAAGCATCCTAATTTTCTCTTTCAGTGCTATAGAAGTTTGTCTAATTTTAGATTACTTTAAAAATACATTTCACTGCTAAAGCATAGGTGACTCTCAGGTACCCTTTTCATTCACAGTAAAAGCACCCACCCTCATCATCAAGAACCCATTCAAACACAGGGACTGTAAAAGACAACAGCAAATATTTGTAAATACACTCTACATATACACCATCAGGAGAAGAAACAAAAAATAATTACCTGTCTGTTATGACATAGTACTGAAATCCAACAAATTGAATTTTAGTTTTCTCCACTCTGCTCTAGAAGAAAAAGAATTCATTATTCTTCCTGTTATAAAATCTACATTTTCTTTGAAATAAAACAAATTCTTAAAAAACATATATCACATGCATTTTGGTTCCATGCATCATAACCTAAATTAATTCAATGTTAGTATTAGGATATTTTGGGAACCAGGAGTTAGATAAAAGATTTCCTTTAAAAGCCAAGAGGTAATCTACCTTTTAATATTAGCTTGTTTAAAGCAGGCCTTTCCTTATTAGATTAGTAATTATTTTCAGATTCTAAGAGTCACTTTCAAGGACTTATTTGGTACACTACAGTAACCTAAGGCAGAAACAAAAGTAATAAAAACCATCAGTCAGAAAATCTTAGGCTAAAGAATGTTTGTGTTCTTTCTCAGGAAAAAACTGCCCAAAAATACTTTAAAGGGTGTTTGGGTTGGTCTGTCTAGATACTTAACCTGTATTTCAGAAACTGATTTGAGGAAAAGGCCGACCTGTAATTGTGCCTTCCCCCTCTCCATATGACTGATCCATAGGAAGATGAGTAACTTTGTAATTATGAAGAATCAAAGAAATGATTAGCGCCACATTTATTATTTTTTCTGTCTTCAATCATCTAAATGCACTGTGGTTAATTATGATTCAAGAAATGTAAGCAACTGATTTGTAGCCAAAACATTGTGGGGCCTGCCAGTGGTGCATGAGAATCTGATATAAATCTCTTTGCCCCTGAGAAGAAAAAAAAACGACCTTAATAACTAGTATGCTAGGCCTCAGACTCCTAGAATAACCTGTGGAATAAGTACGGTGAAACTGTCCAGGGAAAGAACGTGGCTGTCTCCTCCATCTTGAAATTAATCAGCATAAGGGGAAAAGAGACTGAGTATTCAGGAAGCAGAAGCCCAACCGGTTAATACTAGTTACTAAGCTATGGCGTACGTGGCAGGTACCGCCCGCAGAAGCCGAGACCCTGAGGGGGTTTTTGAGTGGGGGAGGGGTATGACTGTTGGCGAATCACACGGATATTAACTTGAAAATAATTTGGCTCAATTCCCACACTCATCCAGGGAAAACAACGCGCAACGTCTTTTCCCTCCGTTTTTTTTTGGGGGGGGAGGGGGGAATCCTTCTAGTAATATGTAGCCAAGGATACACCAGGGCTAAAGGAGCCAGGAAGCAAACCACATTTGTCCCCGATCCTCAGGGAGGACTGTCATCGTAGCCCCAGAGGGTAACTAATTGGTAATGCCCTCCAGAAGGATTCAAAACGGGGCTTTGAGAATCCTGGGAAAATCTAAAGGCCCAAGAGTTCCTAACATTTGACTTAGAGCACCTCCACCCCACTTCCCCAAACCCTAACCCGATCCGCAACGGGGCGACGCGGGGGAAACTCCGAGTAAGGAGAACTGGAGCCGCTTAGATTCTCACGCCCGAGGCCCAAAGTCCAGGCTCGCCTCCAGGGCCTCGGAGAGGAAGTCCTCCCCACCTCCCCCCTTCTTCCACGAGCCGGCCGCCACACACCACCCAGCTAAAATGGCAGCGGCGACTACGCCACGGAGCCCCCCGCGGCCCCGAAGCCGGGTCGGGAGGCCGTGCGGGGTGTCTCGGCCGCGGCCAGCCGCTCAGGCCATTTTGGGAGCCGCTGCCTGACCCAGCCCGACATCCCATTCCTCACCGTGCCCGTGCCGTCACTTACTCGGTGTTATGGGCAGGAGCGGACTCGCTGGGCTTCGCAGCCGTCGCCCGGGCTCCGCCGCGCAGCCGCCGCCGCTGCTCTCTAGCCCGCCTCCGAACCCCTGAGAGAGACCCGCCTCTAGCCCAGAGCCTGTTCGGAGACGTAGCTCAAGCAGCCATTATCTTCCCCATTGTTACCTAGCAGTGACAGGAAACGACTGCCCACAACAGGAAGTGATGGTGCCGCGTCCCCGCTTCACAGGCCCAGTCCCA